AAACAATTTAAATGCGTTGTAGATATATTATTTATATTTAATTAACTGTTTTAAAACAATTAGTAAAGATAATTTTTGCCTGAATAGTGAGCAGGCCATCTTAGCACAAATATAATTTCACCATTGGTGCTACTGCATTGTTTTTCGGAAGCAAAGATTCAATTAAAAAACAGGTGCGGTACATATTCCTACTTTAACCTACACGATGCAAATACCTTAAAATATGCCACAACAACAATTTTTTAACTTACAACTACAATCCGGCATTCGATTTGTTTTTAAGTGAAAGTTGGCAAATTCCAGTGGATTATTAGTTAAGTTATTATCATTGCAAAAATCGTCGCATTTTAACGTCGGTGCATAAATGCAATTTGATAGTTGATCGGTTTTAAAGGTTGGCATTTCAAAATGAGTGGTTAAATTTGAATGTATGGTATTATTGTTGATCATGTTAAGCGTTGGATTTTGATGGAGGGTTGCCGAAATGTGATTAGTAAAATTTTTGAAGTACATTAATGGTTCAATAGTGACGACATTTCCAACAGTACGTTGAGCGACAAGCGAATGAAGTGAAGCATAAGTATTTGTAGAGTGAGAAGCGCATAGTCCACGATTTACATGTGTTGTATTACAATTAGCCCGTGCATTGGTTTGACAATTTTGATAAGTGCAAGGATTTGGAAACGTGTTGGTGTTGTGTGGTGTGCAATAGGAAGCGGACGTAGAATTGGCAAAGACATTTTTGTTATTATAAGTTAATAATGTTGGTGGTAATGATGATATTGATGATGATAATTGACCAGATGTAACCAATGCGGGTGTTGTTGTTGTTGTTGTTTGTATTATTTGAGTATTTAAAGGCATTAATTGAAAGCGGTTCATTTCGTTAGTTAATTTATAATTAGCGGTGGTTGTTATTGTTGTTGTTGTGGTTGTTTTTGGAGTAGTTGTCGACGTTATTTGTTCCAACGTTGTTGCACATGCAGAGAAGGAGGAATCAACAGTTAAGTTATCAAGCTTAGTAGCCATCACCATAACTTTGTCTAGATCCAATAGTAAAGTGTGAACATGTGATGCTAGTCATTTTTGTAATTCATCATCATTGATTTGATTGTTTGATTAGAGAATCAAGTGGTTGGTTGGTGGGTGTTACATACATAGACATGTGTTGTTAGACAGATAGACAAGTTATTTTGTGTTTGTTAATTCCGAAACCGAAGGTTGTAAAATAATCAAATTAAGTACTTGTTAAAACTTAGTTAGTGGTAATCAAAAATACTTTTTACAATATTAAAAGCGTTTATCAAAAAAAAAAATAATAATGGGGAAGGCATAAATATTTTAATTGAATTTCAA